AAATTTTGAGGACACTTTTTTAATTGGCTCAAAGAGAGAAGTGGCCCATCTTGTTATGTACTATCTTTGATAACACACAGGTATCGATGTTCAGAACAGATATCGATATCGATACCAAAACCAATAAGTATATAAGTATCGATATCTAGAATCGATACCTGCCCATCATTATTACTGTCCACTCAACTAGGCTCCAATTCCAGCCCTGAGCCCAGCACTCAGCACACGCACAACGCACAGGACAAACAGAGTCTGCGAAGTCAGTGCCAGTCTTGAGCTAAACCTAGATTCTTGTCACCTAGGCTAGTGAGTTGGCCAAGCCTGTTTCTCGTGCCAAGTGGACGTGGAATATCAACGGTTTTCTTCTGCTAGAAACTCCACGTGAACAGTCCACAACATTTCAAAACGAAACTGCAGGCCTTCACCTCCAAGACAGATTTCGAAGTCTTTGAGTTCCTCCACTATAATCCTTTACTACATCTAGATCTACTACAATTTATAATCCTATTTGATTGATCATGACTTCTCCCCAGTCTTTTATTAAGGTAAGCTATGACAACGACATGTTATAATAGTTCTAATGCAGGGCTCTAAAAATTAATTTGATATAGAATCTAGACTCTAGATCTAGAGACTAGATCTAGATTTATAGATCTAGTACAATATGATAGAGCAAGTTATTAAAAAAGATGTGTGTTAAAATCTAGAGTCTAGCTAGATTTAGATCTAGATCTAGATCTAGTAGTCTAGATATATATTCTAGATCTAGATCTAGATTCTAGATCTAAAGTCTAGATCTAGATCTAGATCTAGATTAGTTTATTATTCAAAGTCACTTAATATAGATATAGATCTAGGGCTTACTGTAAAGAGGCCTTTAATTTTGTTGTTGCTGTGTGCATAATGATGGTAGTCTAGGTAGGTCTAGTTATAGTTATAGAGTTGTGTTTCTATCTACTAACTAGATCCATACTAGATTAGATCTAGACTCTAGATCTAGATCTAGAATCTAGATCTAGATTAGATATCTAGATTTAGATATCTATAACTTTAACGACTTTAAGCTTTGATTTAATTGTGTTAGCCTATATTACACACTGTAACTTGTAAGCACTGACTCACTGTGCATGTTTAGGGAGAGCCGGTTTTCAGTTTTGTTTAAAGCATTGTTTAAATCTAGATCTAGGCCTATATTAAAAACGAAGTGTATACAGACCTGGTACCGGGAACTAAGTCACGAAGTATACAGACCCGGTAGGGGAACTCTTTTGTGATTTTGGAAAGTTTCGGCGCCCAGAACCGGTAGTGTGTGTGTGTGTGTGTGTGTGTGTGTGTGTGTGTGTGTGTGTGTGTGTGTGTGTGAGCAGGGGGAAGTGCTATGCTAGCAAAATGTATGACATACCCCAGTTGGCAGAAGGGAACGAGAGAAAGATAGAGTGGGAAATAGGTGGGGAGAAAGAAAGACAGAGACAAACAAAGAAAAAGAGACTGCGAGCGATATACAGGCAGAGAGAGAAAGAGAGAGAGAGGATGACAGCTCGATTGAAATTATGACATTGTTCTTTTCTTCAAATTGTGATTCCTCCAACTCCAAAACGGAGGAAAAACGATCGTTCATCGGAAAAACATCCGCAATCTTCAATTTAGATCTAGATTCTAGATCGAGGCTAGCCTCGAAACTAGATCAATGATTTATTTCTGTCTGTCTAGATCTAGACCTAGGCCATAGATCTAGAAAAACCTAGGTCTACCCTGAACCAAGAGGGCGCTGAAACTTTCCGAAATCACAAAAGAGTTCCCCTACCGGGTCTGTATACTTTGTGACTTTGTTCCCGGTTACCGGGTCTGTATACACTCCCTATTAAAAAACAATGTTTCCATTAAATCTGACTGAAACCTGTTGAGTACTCAGGTCTCAACAGTAATTATTCAGGTTGATACCAAAGTCATATCAGTAAGGCACCTTTTGGTTTTGTCTGAAATACACTTTAAGTTTAAGTATTGCAGACTAAAATTTTATGGCCGGCTCTCTTTCTCTGAGCACTCGGGAACAAACTTAAACTCTATTTCTCTGAACGCTTGGTAAAATAAACTTGAACTCTATTTCTCCGAATGCTCTGTAAAATAACACATGCCATTAAACGTAGAAATGACGCATCTTTCTGATTGGCTGCTAATTTTAGTAATGTGATGTCATCACTTCCTGGGATACCCACATGGAACGACGTGTTTTCGGTAACATTTCGGATTTCCTAGATCTAGATTCTAGATTAGATCTAGATCTAGATCTAGATCTAGTAGGCCTACTTGGACATGATGGAAGACCGCACAAAAATTGCTGTAAAGACTCAGGAGGACTTGATCTAGATCTAAATTTAGATCTACCAACCCCTCCCCCCCCTCTCCTGCATTTTTAATCACTAATACATTTTTAGAAATAAGCAACAACTTCAAAGCAACTCTACAAATTAGGCCTATAATTTATGGAACTGTTGGTCAGTCGGGAGGAGGAAAAGAGAAAAAAAAAACTGTCCGGGACCGGAATCTAACCGCTCCAAAAGTCATTGCCCGACATCAAACGCAGACGCGCTATCAAATCAGCTATCAGAACTTCCGAGAGAAAGGTGTAGATTATGCATAATATACATAGACACTTCCATCTTTGGTGCCATGCGGTTGTCTATACTTAGATGTAGTCACGTGATCGGAGGGGTATCCTGGTCTGACGTCAAACAAGATGGGCGCCTTACCTAAAAATAGTTTGCCTCATTTCTACTTTTAATCGCATGTTAAAATAACGCCTGGGGGAAAGGCAACAAGGAAAGGGGAGTGGGGGGGACAAAAAAAAAAGGGCAAAAAGAAATTGACTTTTTCTGCAGGTTTGTGATAAGAGCCCAATTTCTGTGTGGATTTTACTGAAAAGCATTGATTAAAGGCACAAAAAAATGTAAATTTTCAGTGTCTATGGACTGTTAAGCCAAGGAAATTATAACTAATCTTTGGCGGCCTTTCTCACTAATTTTACCTCTAAAACCAGGTGACCCCCGCCTCCTCCATTTGCAAAAATCTCCACTTGTACTTGTATTCAAGATAAATGGATATTTTTTTCATCCACAGCAAGACAAACGAACAAGCTTTAGGAAGACACCACCATTAAACTCTGTACCATGTCCAAAAATTGACGAGAGCTTGATTTCAGCGCGTCATATATAACTCATATAATTTTGACAAATAAGACCAATTTCTATTGAATGCAAAAGTTTTTTTTATTATTATGGTCTCTCGTGGTGTTTTCAATGTGCTAATATCTACAGGTACACAGTCATTTATCTGGCATTCTGAGAACGAGATGGAAAGCTCAGAAACTCTTTTCTTGGATATCATCTGTACATGAAAGTTCCTTTTTGACACCAAACATCACTCGCTTCAATCAGTATTCAATAAAGGTTGTCCCAGAATTTACTTCCATTGCACATTTATATGGGCATAATGTGATATTCACAGTTTAAGTTAGATGGATTGCTGACACAAGCTAGCACAAATATCAATTTTTTAATAAAAAGTTGCCTAAATTCTTTTTGTAGAGTTTTTATGTCATATTTCTAAAGAGTTTGCTATTTCAAACCTGAAATGATTTCGGGCTTTTAAAGAACTTTTTTTTTAGTACACCAAGCTTTTTGTTTCTAAGAATATTATGGTGAGGTCCTATGGCCTTGTAGTATTTGCTCCTTTAAATTACTGTTGAAACCGTGATGGCCATCCATGGTACTTTTACAGAGGTGGATGTCTCGGACAGTATCATTAAGGCTAGTACCGCACTACGACAGTTTGTCCTGAGACAGACCCGTCTGGATTTTGAAACCTTTGAATTAGTAGAGTGTAATGTACCGCATCTATTATGACAGGACATTTTTGTCGCAATGAGTCCCGAGCAGTTGTGAATTGCTATAAAATCGGTGGGACAGGACATAGATCCCAGTCCCGGACTTGCGCGTTGTGGCATATTTAAATAACTGTAAAATTTGCCGCCATGCAGGATTCAAATTGGGGCACAAAATTTTAAAAATAATTATCGCATCTCAAAACTGATTTCGTATTCGGAATCAGCGTCTCTAAATAAGCAAGAAATGGCTTGTGGCGAACCTGATTTGATGCGGTACTATGTAAATTTTAGCAAATAATTTTTTTTATTGATTGTCAATGGTGAAATTGTGAATCAAGGTCACCCGGTGAAGCGTGCGCACATGGACACACACACACACACACACACACACACACAATTTAACTTTGTAATCGGGCATTATATTGTGTTCCCCTTCTGATTTTTGGTAATTATGAGTCGCTGATCACGGAAATTTTTTTAATTTGGACAAAAGTTGGGACATTTTTTAAATGCATTTTTAACCCCACCGAGGGCAACAACAAAAAAGCGGCCTTATGTGCCGGAGATCAGTCCTGTGCTAGTGCGGTATCTGTTTTGACATGCAAAAAATGGACGGTGGGACAGGACAGTCCTGTCCTAGACAAAAATGTCGTCGTGCGGTACTAGCCTTATAATGTATTAAAAATGCAAGGGAGGGAGTGGGAAGTGGTCATTGTACAGGGGATTGTCTCAGGTGACCGTTTGAGCAGGTTTGACTGTATTTCTAGGTTCTTGTTACATATTACTCTCTCTTCTTTCTTCATGATTGTCCCTTTGTCTCGCAAAGTTGTCTCGTATTTGACAATTTCAGGAAATGTTAACTTTGTTTTTACATATATCACCAATTAGTTTTCAAATTTCCTGTACTTGGATTTTGAGTCTGCAAAAAACCTGCTTGTTTTTATAAATAACATACTCAGAAGTTTTTGTGGCAGGCTTTTCTTGATTTCCCCTTGTTGGCCGACTGCTACCTGAATGGGGATTTTAACAATTCCTGTGCTATAATGATGCCACAACTGTGTTTTTAAAATCAGACATGCAACTGAATACGTAAACAAAATTGGGTCTCTGTAAGCCTCTGTAACTGCATATTATGTGAGGCATCGTGGTGAAATCTCACTCGACAAAATAATGAAATAGAAGAAACTGGCATTTTTCTGCCCGTTTAGTGACTAAACACCTGTAAGGTCCATTTAAAAACACATTTCTGTGTGAATTTTACTGTAAAATGTTGATTTAAGGTACAAAAATTTAAATTTGCAGTTTCAATTTACTTTTAACCTTTCGAAACTGCCAAACTTTGGAAGCCATATTCTCGCTAATTTTACTCCTGAAACGAGGCAACCCCCACCTCTTTCAATCACAAAATCTCGACTTCTATACATGGTAAATGGTGTATAAGTACTTTTTCACTGAAAGCAAGACAAATGAACAAGCTTTAAAAGGATACCAATAAATCCAAATGTCCAAAAATTGACGAGCGCCTAATTCCACCACGTCGTGATAAATATTTCAAATTCTTTTCAAAGGAATTTTTATAACACATTAAAATTATAATTTTTTGCTCATCAACTCTCAACTTGACCAAAAGAGAAGAAAAGACTAAGGACCTATGTAACTAGACTAATAAAGTGTCTGGTGTTGTGCCTGCTGACTATATAGTATGATTATTTGAATGTATCATTTATTGCAGATGAAATGTAATAATGAATAATGATATTATATTAGGATAATAATATTTATTAAAATTATAGTAAAGGGGATTATGGTGGTGCTGGTGATAGTGATGAAAATCATATTAGGGATAAGAAAACTACTGGATGTTTGAGAAACCATGGGTTGTCTGAACTTGAAATTTAGCTGATTTGCAAATTCACTACTCCAGTGCCTTTTATCTTTCTTTTTTTTTTTTCTTTTCAAAAAATGTTCTGGTGGAAAGATATCGGATGATGACCAGGGCTACTCTCTGGATCAGTTTTGTATCCCAAAACACTACGAAAATGACCTGTCTCATGTTCTCATCCCGGAGGGACTTATTCATGACAGGTATGTATGTATGTTTGCTGATCATATTAAGAGAAAAGCCATCATCGTAAGATTAAGCAAAATAAATTGTCCTGCTGAGTAGATTACCTTTATAGAAGGGTTTAAAAGTTGAGCTTCATTTTCATTATTACTTCTTGGACTTCTGGGAGTGCTTCCAAATGTGTATTGACTCGATTCATGTTCAAAGCTTGATTCATTTTACAGTGATGCAGTTGTTCCTCCTGGCACTTGTAATACGCATAAATGATAAAGAGATGTAGTCTGAAGCAGTTTTTCATTTTGTGGCAGTGCTTAGTGTGCTGATGAACAATATATTGTAAAATTGTTATCAAGCTTTTGTATAATATAATATAATTGAGCAAAATGTGAGACATTGAAGGCACTAAACAGATTTATATGATCAGGTCGTTAGAAATTCTAAAACAAGAAGTCGAAGTTAAAATGCACTGTTTGTGTTTATTAGAATTATTTTTAAATTTCAGTTTATATGATAGAGAGAGTTAAGTTCCTCAGTAAACTTCAGAGTTAAAGGTTGAAACAATGTTTATTGGTATAATTCACCCAGGTACATGTAAATTTGAAAGTTTTGTTTAGTAATTTAACAGGAAAATTAATAAATTTTTATGTTTCATTTTCTAGAACTGAGCGTCTGGCACGGGATATAATATCTGACTTTGGCACTGATGCTATTGTGGGCCTGTGTGTTCTCAAAGGAGGATATAAGTTCTTCACAGATCTCTGCAACAAGATGCAACTTTTGAACAGAAACAGCGACCAGTCTGTGCCAATGTCAGTTGACTTTATTCGCATCAAAAGCTATGTGGTAAGTTGTTTTCGGGCTTATTCTTTTCGGGTTGTGGAGGGGGGGGGGGGGGGGTAATATAGATTGGAGGAGGGACGACTGAAACACTTTTTTGTCAACGTTTGATGAACACATCAAGTGAGAACCAAATTTTCTGTATTTTGATACTTGTTTCTGATAGTACTGAAATCCCTGTTAATCACTTGGTCCAAAGATAATTGAACTGACATTGCCTTTTCTCCAATGCCAATTTATGCAAAAGGGAATGATGAAAACAAACACCTTTGGAAATAGGTTTACAGTGACTTCAGAGCAACTAAAGAAACTGAAGGTTATACTCGAAAGATAACTAGTTAAAGAAATTTGAGACAGCAGTATTAACGCTCCTTTACAAAATGTATTCCCTAACGTTGGGAAAAGTTTTAGCCTCAACGACTGTACTTTTGTGATCCAGATATCTCTCTCTCTTTCTCCAATGCCAATTTATGCAAAAGGGAATGATGAAAACAAACACCTATGGAAATAGGTTTACAGTGACTTCAGAGCAGCTAAAGAAACTGAAGGTTATACTCGAAAGATAACTAGTTAAAGAAATTTGAGACAGCAGTATTAACGCTCGTCCATTACAAAATGTATTCCCTAACGTTGGGAAAAGTTTTAGCCTCAACGACTGTACTTTTGTGATCCAGAACAGTATCTCTTATTTGCTGTCCTAAATATTGAGGGTAAACTTTAATTTAACCCCCACCTCTCATTCTTAAAATAAGTTGAAAGCATTCTTTGCAACTGATGTCATGGCGACCCACATGTGGTTTCACTGAGAGGTGAGATCTTTGACGCATTCCTGTCAGAACGATGAACTGTTATAATACATGCATGTGTATGCCCGACCGTGAGACTGAAAAAATAATGTGTGAGAGAGAAAGTTTTTTTAATTTAGAGAATGAATGTTTTTTTGACTGTTTCTAGCTATTCAAGTTTCAATTTTATTCTGACCGTTGGTGAGTTTTTATTGCATTGTGTATTTTTAGTATACATGTTGCCAGGCTCCCTCCGTGACTATTTTTCTCATAAAGTTTTTTACATGATATATATATATATATATGCATAGTACTATGTTTTACTTTCACACATATCCATTAATTTTTAAGGTGTGATATTTATATTAAAGTAATGCAATTTAAGCATTTTTTAGAAAATGGAAATGCGCAGCATAAATGCTATTATTATGTGCATGTACTTATTCAGTTTTTTGGGATCGTAGCTTGCTCCCATAATTTTTTCATTTGTAGTTACTTGTGTGTTTCTTTTTAGGCTCCTCATAGGTCCTCATCTTGTCATTTTTATAGGGTTTTTTTTTTAGATACGATATACAGTGTTCATGAGTTCTTGACATCTACCTCTTTATCTAGAGGATAACCGGTGGCAGGGTTAATAAGTGTTACAATTAAGTGTGCTGTATGTTTTGTATTTGGTCTGGCCAAAGCGACTATGCTTTGTAGGGCACAAGAAACAAATTTGGTTCCCTTTATGCTGGGGTAAGAATTTTCTCTGGAAGAAGTGGTCTGTTTATGGCTGGGGTTAATGTTTGCTTTTGTTGTTATTTGTCCTTCAAAGCGACATTTAGTGGAATGTTAATTTATATATTATATGCGGGATGGTGTGACATGGTACAAACCTAATTACTCTGGAATGTCAATAGTCAGTAACTGAGAGTACAATGTGGGCTTATCAATGGAAAAATGGGAAAGGATCAATTATATTCTCTTTGTTGTGTGAAAGAAGAAAGTTTACTCTGTTGAAGAGTGGTAAGGAAACATTTTATAGGTAATTTGTTTTTAAAAAAGAGTGCGTTATGCACCTGTTTTTAGAGAGACTGTCCAAAGATTTCCAAAGAGATTTCAACTTTTTTTTGGTGTAAGTAAGTGCTCAGAACCTGTGTATTTTAATTGGGGTTGAGCGCTATATAAATGTCATTTATTATTATTGTTATAATTTAAGTTTTAAATATGGATTATAAATACTGGCAGAACTGACATGATAGTCTGTTTTCCAATTTTTGCTACTGTGACTGAATTATCTTTCCTTGGTTTTTTGTTTTTTTCATAGAATGAAAAGTCTTCTGGGGATATCGAAGTGATTGGTTGTGACAATTTAGATGGACTCAAAGGAAAGGTGAGTATTTTTGAGTATTTTGCTTAGAATATGTGTCTCGGCCAAAATTGAGGGCAAACGAGGCAGGGGAAGGCCCAGAACAACTTACTTGGGGAACCCAAACAAATGGTTAACAGGGAAAGATCAGTTAAACATGGCTATTTTGAGAGCATGCGAGCAAAGGAATGAATGGAGAACCATGATCGCCGATGTCTGTCGCAGATTTGGCACTTGATGATGATGAAGTGTCACGGCGTAGTGGAATCGGGCGCTCGTCAATTTTTGGTCATATGGGGTTATTGGTATCACTTCAAAGCCTGTCTATTTGCCTTCCTTTTGGTGAAAAAATAATCACATATAGAAGTCAAAATAATTGCCTTTGAAGGTCAAGGTCGCCTGGTTTCAGAGGTAAAATTAGCGAGAAAATAGCCGCCAAAGTTAGGTAACTTTCATTGCCTGTGAGTCCTTGCAAACTGAAAATATATTTTTTGTGCCTTTAATCAACTGTTTTCATTCAAATCCACATAAAAGTGTGTTTTTAAATGGACGTAAAAGGCGTTGAGCCAAAAAAAGAAAATAGTAAAGAAATTGCCCGTCGGCCAAAAAGTGCCGATTTCTTTTATTTCATTATTTTGACGAGCGCCTGATTTAACCACGATGCCTCACATATACAGTAGTCTCCGCCTAAGATCGCGGTGCTTGGGAGCAAGGAAATGCGGGATCTTAGGCGAACTGGGATCTTAACCGACGAACCCAGGGAAGAATCTATGGTGACCCATGTTAAGGCTCACGATCGATAAAATAGTCTTCCTCCACTCTAAAACGAACTAATGTGACCCCTGGGTGGGTTTATGACACATGGCGAGCGAAGAGTGGTTAACCTTGATGACCTATCACAGTGCATAGTGGCATGAGGCGTGCCATTTTCACTTATCATGAGTCTCAAGATCTACGCTTATCCAGTTGACCGTCCCCTTTACCTGTCGAAAATATATAGCTTTCCATCTCTGACCAAGTTTCCCTCCCCCCCCCCCCCCCAACACACACACACACACCGCCTGTGTCGTTACACACCATTACGTTGTGACCACACCAATTAAAATTCTGTCTCTCAAATTCGGGAGTAAAGACAACTGCTGCAACAGTCAAGAAAGAGTTCAATGTGATCCCACCTGGAGCGAACATGTAGGCCCTACCCGCCCAGCGAGTGATGTAAGTTTAGGGGGAGAGCTCAGATGCAAGTGCGATACATGGGGAAAACAAACGTGTTGGTCAGTTCACACCCGGGTGTGATCCCACTTGGGGCAAACATTGTTTCGCTTCATCGAGTTTTACAACGTGTATTTGATCACATTCATGATAGTGGCTGATCTTTGACGCAACGGACCGTTTATTGATCTCAACTTTTCACTCTTGGTTGATCGGCTGTGCCCGCCCGCGTTTTTATTCCACAAATTATGATCTGAAATGCGGGATCTTACCCGAATGTAGACCTTCAGAGTGAATCAGAGCGGGATCTTAGGGGTGACTTTTGTATAGTAAAAATTCTGTTTTCTTAAAACAGTGGGATCTTAGGCGGAGACTACTGTATTATGGCTCGGGAGTCTTGCACAGGCTTATATTTTTCTCTCCTACCTTCTTTCCTTCCCTAGCCTCCCATTTTTCTCTCGCCCTCTCTCTTTCCCCCTCTCCCTTTCCCTCTCTCTCTCTCTCTTTCTCTTTCTCTCACTCTCTCTCTCACTCTCACCTTTCACTCTTACACATTTATATATGAGCACATATATGAGTGTGCTTGACAAAAAGGCCAATGTTTGCAATTTTCAAAATTGAGATTAAGGCACATGTAGTTTTGTATAAGCTTTTAAATTCAGTATCTGCTGGTGTTTCACATTTTTTTGATATTTTGAATACATTTGGAGATTTTGGTAATGTCATAATCAAAGGTGCGAAAATACGTTTTTGAGAAAAATACTAGATTCTAAGTCAAATAATTTTATTGTTCTATAAAATAAAATAAAAAGTGCCGTACCTTCTTGATTCACTTGTATAATTTGATATTCAATACAGTAGTCTCCGTCTAAGATCCCATCGCTTAAGATCCCGTTGTTTTAGGAAAACAGAATTTTTACTATACAGAAGTCACCCCTAAGATCCCGCTCTGATGGTCTACATTCGGCTAAGATCCCGCATTTCAGATCATAATTTGCTAAACAAAAACCCAGGCGGGCACAGCCGATCAACCAAGAGTGAAAAGTTGAGATCAATAAACGGTCCGTTGCGTCAAAGATCAGCCACTATCATGAATGTGATCACATACAAGTAAAACTTGATGAAGCGATACAATGTTTGTCCCAGACGGGATCACACCGGGGTGTGAACTGACCGACTCGTTTGTTTTCCCTGAACATCGCACTCACACCTGAGCTCTCCCCCTAAACTTGCATCACTCGCTGGGTGGGGATGGCCTACACGTTCGCTCCAGGCGGGATCACATGGAACCGTGAACTCTTCCCTGACCATTGCAGCAGTTGTCGGGATCTTAGGCGGAGACTACTGTACCATAAACATCAATCAATTTGCTGGAGGACACTAACTCTTTTTGTACCTCTACTCAGCAGCATAATAATACTATGGTTTGAAGAAAGACAGAGGTGTATCGGTGTCTGGTACAGAAAGGGTAAGGTTATGTAAAAGTCTATAGAAAAGCAAGACGACGAACACGTGAGAACTAAGATCAAACATGATTATTGCATTTAAGTAGTTTCTCTGGAATGTAATCAACTGTAGGCTACTCATGTGCACTATAATTCATGGTGTAGTTTAGAAAACACTTAAAATTTTCATATAATTTATGTAGAAATAAATCCTACTTGGCTTGCAAATGAAAAGTCAAAAACAGATGCATTTGAGCCATTATTTATAACAAATTTCCCCTCAGACACCACTAGTTTTTATACTACTTACAGATAGAATGGAATAAAATCCTTCTGAAATATGATTCAGGAATATTTGAACTTTGATTTTTCTGAGAAAAATGCATTTTGGACCTATAACCACATTATAACTTTGGGCATGCAGAAGCTGGGATAGCACTCCTATTAATTTCATCCAGTGAAAAATTAATCTGATTATATCATATTACGAATACAAGATATTCCCTGAAATCAAAGGCTCACATAACATGATTTAATTTCTCATGTTATTTCTCCTCAGAATGTCTTAATTGTAGAAGACATCATAGACACTGGTAAAACAATGCAGCACTTGCTGGAGCTTCTGAAAAAAGTGGAACCAAAGTCAATCAAGGTGGCAAGGTACTCATTGTCTTTTTATTTGCCCTCTATTTTTCTCTTCTATTAGTTTTTGTTCCTGCTTTTTAAATTATATCTGCCTCGTGACCTCTCTGGGCTACATTGCCTTTAAAGTAGAGAAAAGAAACACCATCATGACGTAAAATGTTTGTGGGCCCCAGACTGGTATGTGTCTTCTACTTTTTTTTCAGTTCATAGTTTAAAAAAAATCCCAATCTGTTTTCTAAGTTGAATGTAGCACTTGTGGCACTGACTATCCATTACTTACTATTCAACACATACTTGGAAATTCAGTTAAACTTCTATGGTTAAAGCTTGGGGATGATTGACTAACAAACATCATCTCTGGTCACATTAATCCCTATTTCTGTTTTAGGAAAGAGGTCATTTTTCCGGATTTCAGTCTTTGAAAAGTTGGCAGGTCTGCAAATCTCCACACAGCTATATTACATACATGATAGATCAAATTGAGGCTGTTTTTCGAGTTTTACCAATTCAAATAGTAAAACTCTTAAATGCCCACAATATTGTGTTTAGCATGGCATGGCAAAATGACTTTCATTTACTTATTGGTGATCATGATTTTTCTGAATGTTAAGAGCTTGTTCTTTTTATTTTGTCTGTTTGTATTTTTTTCACAGTCTATTGGTTAAAAGAACTCCCCTGAGTGTTGGCTACAAACCAGACTGTAAGTATTGCCATTTATGTGATCTTGAATAGAAATTAATATATTTATAATTGAAGGAGGTTTGGGTTTCCTTGTTTCAGATGTAAATAAATGGGAAGAAAATGGCTTCCAAAATTTTGCGATTTCCATAGCTGGAGATTGCTTTGAAAACTGAAAGTTTCCACTTTTTATGCCTTTAACCAACATGTTTCTGTAAAATTCACCAAAAAATGTGTTTTTAAATGGATGTGAGGTGTTGAGCTATAAAACAAAAAGTCATGAAAAATTGTCAAACTATTGGAAAAATGCTGGTTTCCCACATTTGATTATTTGGACGTGCATCTGATTTCACCACAACGCCTCACAATTATTCGAACAGAGAATAGCGTGGGTTTTTTTTTCTGAACGATGACATACAGTGGAAACCATATATAACAGGCCCTGTATTAACAGGGATCCGGTAATAACGGGGATTTTTAAAATCCCCGTTTTCTCCTACTCTTTGTCTCTATTAAAAGTTATTGGCAATAACAGGGCCTCATCGGAGCCCAATCGGTTGTGGCAGGGACAAAGGCTTGATAACAATGTGTAAAAAGTAAGAGAGAGAGTAACGCAGTGATGGAGCAAGCCCACGCAAGCCACGCTACTGCATGCTCACGGAGCGGGTGAAGCGACAGAGGGCTGTGATGTACTGCAGACTTCGATCTAGCCCTAAGCCTTGCTACACGCACTCGCAATGTGTCATGCACAGGCCTGCCACATTGCCAAAACCCGTGTTCGTGGGTATTTGTGGCAAGGGAAACTACCCGTGAATAAATACAGCTGGATTAGTCCTCAAATGCTTACTACCCTTGCATTTCTGATTTAACAGGGATCTGATACAACAGGACTTTTTCTCCGGTCCCACCATCCCTGTTATATCTGGTTTCCACTGTACTAGTGCCTTACTACGATGCTTGGGGAAATATGCACAATTTATTTTAAACTAGAGTTGACAGGAGACTTACTCTTGGTTGCTGTACATTTGCACTTCGCTGTCAATGCCGCTCTCTTTAAGGGGAAAGCCATATTATGTTCGAAATATTTAGTTTAGTTTAAGTAAGAGTTTTCCGGCACTTGCAGTCATATAAGTGCCGAAGATTAGAGGTGTTACAAGTGAGTAACAAACAAAAAAAAAAAAAAAAGGAGAGATCAGGACGATAGATGTTTGATAAGAAAGAAGGAGCAAACCACACCAGAGCACCCACTAACCACCCACGTTCGAAGTATGAACAAGATATCGCCTCATAGAAACATGTCATCTACTTTTCTGTTAAATTTTATTTTATAATTCATGTGTGTAGCACACAGAGTCAGGTTGACTTTGGAACCTCTATTTACTTTAAATTTCCCTAAAGCACACAGGGTTGGAAAAATATTACTTTTCTTCATTTCTGCTTCCATGTTTGCTGCTGCATGCTGAGTCATAAAATTTGTCCATTGGCGGTGCAGGATTTTCTGAGTTTAAAAAATGGTGAAATCGTATGGGTTTAACGTCCCTATCAACACTATTAGGTTATTTAAGGGGCGGGACCTCCGAGTTTAAAGTCCATCTCCGAAAAGACCGAGCCAATTGGAAAATTTGTGTAAAGTGCCTTTCCCAAGGACACAACGTCGGACCGAGCTGAGGCTCGAACCCCCGAACCCGCAATCTTATGATTACGAGTCTGGTAACCACTAGGCTACCGACACCACTTTCTGAGTGATATTGAAACATAAAAATTATGATGTGATTAATGAGTATGCTTGATATTTTTCCTTTTATATTTTGCACATGTCGATTGTGATAATTGTTTCCTCAGATATTGGCTTTGAGGTTCCTGATGTTTTTCTAGTTGGATATGCTTTGGACTTCAATGAGTACTTCCGTGACCTTGGGGTGAGACTTTTTCACTAAACATACACTTCATCTTTTCTTTGACATTTTCTAATGCCAGAAGAAATTTCTTGCACTTTTCAGAGTACAGTTCTTCTCTTTTCTTTGAGGTGAACACTATTTTCCAGATATTCTCTCCTATTTGATGTTACTTGTTGTTCATGTTGTTCAAGGGAGCCCTTTTCTCTTATTGGGGAACACACTGTAGTCTCTATTTAGATGAAAAAAATAGAGCCCTCTCATATGTGCTTGCATCAATGCATACCTGTTTTTACGTGTCCAGACCTGCCAACTGCTCCGATTTTATTGTAATTTCTCCAATATTTTTTTCATTTTGAATGACTCCGACGGAATATGCGAAACTCAGATTTTTTTTCCAAACTCTGCCTAACACGGATCGGATGTCTCGTCGATTCAGAAAATGGGTCAGGAAAACCCTTCACCCATCACTAGCTCACGCTGTTGATCTACGACACACAACACGTGAACCGAGTAATGCGCCTGCTGTAGATCTACGACACACAGCCCGGAGCGGGAACCGCACACACTGTATAATTATGTACACAGATGGCCTCAGCCTCTTCTATGGAAAACTTTAGTCCACGAACTTTGATGGGCCAGGTTTAAAAACAATAGCCAATCAAATTCCAGCTTTTATATTGAGGGGAGCATGCTTAATTACGTTGTCAGGAGCAATGAAAGTGAAGCTATCGCAACAAAGAAGTCCGTACGTGTTGCTCGTTTACAAACATTCAGGCCTGGCAACAGGTCAGAAGTCAATGGTAACTTCCTGTTGGTCTACATAACGCCTAAGCTAAAAATGATAATTTTTTTGGGTTAAAATACTTAAAGGAAACACTTAGTCGCGGAATATGGATGTTAAGTTAGATGCTCCAATTTTTTTCTCCAGAGGGTTGGTAGGTCTGCATGTCTATGCAACTGTATTATATATGTGAAATGTGTTAGGGGATTCAGTATTTTTTAATTTTAAAATAACACGTTCCTATGTGTTTTTTTGTATCTCTTCCACAGCATATATGTGTCATCAACAAAAATGGTAAAACGAAATACAGTGTAACAGAGAAATAGTAGTACCGGTATCCTCCATCTAAACTCCCCGTTAAATGTTGAATGAGAGACAGCCTATGGGATGTATGCAGACACAACAGACGCCAGTGTTATTTTCTGTATCCATCATTTATGCAGATTTATCATGTGCCCAGTGTTAATGTAAAATGTGCGAAAAATTAGAATAATGAATACATACACATCTTGATTCTATCCATTTCTTAAGTCAGTATGCCTCTTTTGTGTGATAAAGTGTTCTTCAGGTTTTATTACACTTCTTTTTGGTTCTATGTGTCTGCTTAGTTATTCAATTTACGAGAGAATTTTGTTTTTTTCAAAATTGTTAATCTGTTAGTTCCTTTGTTTTGTGATTTCTGGTGTGATATTGCATACTCCAGTTTGTTCTATGGCAATAAAAAGTATTAGCCTAGGATACTTTATTTACTTTTTGTGTACCGGTGTATGTTTTGTTCTGAAGTACAAATCATGTTTAGAAAGTGATGAATATAAAGGGAGTTTCTGTCCCTGGATGTTTCAAAACTGATAAAAAGTTTTAGAAAGTCCACTGTGTTCTTACCCCACTGGATTTGTTGGTTACCCCTTTGTGCCCTGCTGGCCGAAGACCCATGCGCCTAAGCCCCTTTGTGTTGACTGTTAGATACCACTGTAGGCTAAGGTATGCATTTGGTGTACACAATGGTAAAAGGATCAAGTACTCTTTAGTCTCTGGGGTAAAGACATGACTCATGCTCATATTTTTATCTGTGAATTGAGACTGTGTAAAAAAGTCATTGATAAGTGTTCCCTACCCCTCGGGGCGGTGCTACTGACTGAAGTGTCTTTAGGCCATTCCCAAAGGGGGGACATTAACCATGTTCTTATGCACAGTAGAATTGTAATTGCAAATGGGCTGATTCGTCAATGTCACGCTCATAACTGTGCCTGAACTTCAACAGGGAACTGCTGCTTTTTCTTTCCTAATCCTTACTATCGCCATTTTCCTCTACTTTTGTATGTTTGTCACACTCTTGTGACCCGCTCCTTCCGGGGTGCCTTGATAGTCGAAGCAGACTTTGTGCTGTTGAAGCCAGAGAGGTGAACAGAGTAAGTCTGATTCCCTGTAAGGACTTGTCTGTTGACATCCACCCCTTGGCGCTCATATGACCTTATGCAGTTGCGAGCCCCCTAAAACCTCTACTAAAACAAAAAACTAAAGTGTTCTCACTTCACCTTTCTAGTCTCTTGTTTGTCTTTGCTTATATTCTTTCTTTTTTTCAATTTGAGATTCAGGCATCATTATTGTACCTATGACACCTTCAATTTTAGTGGCCATACTTTGAGAGTTATAAGATAACTGAAGGATATGATTCTCCCATGTCTGGATTGTGAATGTGAACGCAAACTATGTGGGGATGCTCTTGTGCATTAATGTTTTTTTTGCCTCAGTTTATCTTTAAGAGCCATATAAAGCTATGTCAAAAGCCTTTTCTATTTTATCTAGCATATTAATTCTCTCTGAAGACCTATCCTCATATTTTTATTCTTAGTATTTTAGTTTGTTTTATGAAACTTCACGATACCAAGAATGTTGTCATCTGGTCCAAGTTGTAATGATAAAAGCTTCATTTCTTAAAGATTGTTGTCTTTTCGGTGAACACTGTCAAATGGGTCTTAATTTGTACTCTTCCATAATTTTCTGGGGAAGTTTCTTGGTGTTTTTGTTGCTTCGTGTTAAAGACTGCATAAATACATTTTTTAGGACAAAAAAAATTTGGTTACTTTTTTTGTGGTAGTGTGAAATAGAAATATTATTTTTATAGATACTTTTTGTAGGTTTTAAAATTGTGATTCGTTTGAATGAAAAATTCTCAGTAACTTGCTATAAAAATTCTCTGGAGCCGACCAGTTGTGAGGGTCGACACCTGTCTTCAAATTCAATGTAATTTGCTTAGTTTTAAGAAGAATATTTTTTAGTAATTGTTTTGTTGTTTTTTAGTTTTTGTCAATCCTTTACTGTTTGATAAACTTGCTCTACAGTATAGTATAGCACAATTTTTGTTGTAAGACCTGAAAGCTCCTTTGTGTCATACCTTTGATGTATTTTGTCCAGCAGTTTGAAAGAGAATGCAGACGATAAATATTTTATCCTCTCCCTTTTCTTCTGTGACATATTCTCTTGTTGTCCCCTTTTTTCATGATTATGATGACTGATTGTTTGTTTTTTCTGCTCAAAAGGTAGTTTTAAACCTTTTTGTTGTCTTCCTTTATTATCCTTTCTGTGAGTGACAGTAGCCCATTTGGAAGATCATTTTTATTACTTTTTTAATGTAGATCCCACCAGTTTTCCTTTGAAATGTGTTGTGTCAAATAACACCTATTTTGTTGTAAGTTTTTGTTGCCTGTGTTTTCATCAGTTTTTTAAAAACCTCCCTGAGATTTCTGTTTTGAGTTGGCATACAGCTTAACTGTTGAAATAATTGTATGTGTTGAAAATGTGGTCCAGATAGAATAACATTTGAGTATTTTGTGCATACCTAAAAATATCCTTACTTTCACTTTAGGTGTTTTTTCTGAGACTTCTCTCTTGCAGATCTACGCTGAGTACATTACAAAAATTACTACTAGACGATGTTAGTCCTTCCTAGAGACTAGAGGACAATTCCTTTTCTGCTTTCTGCAATAGTGGCTAATCATTTTGATGCCTTGTGGCGATGACATCGTCTGTGCATTTTCTTAGTTGGTTGCTTTAGTGCTGACAGTCAGTGACTATGAAACTCAAGTCTCTATGCTGTCTTGTTTTCATTGCTTCTTTGTAACGGGTCCTTTCAGCGTATTGTCCTTGAGGGAGGCCAAATGTTCTGCCTTGGGAAATAACTTGTGCTGCGTTTAGTAGTAGTGCATCAAAAGTTGTCTGGTGATCATGTCAGTGTATTCCAATGCCTTATAAAGGAGGCGACAGTTCTTGTTATTGCTCAGTCACCAGTAATGCAGGAATGTGAATCATTGGGAAGTCAAAGCTTTTGACTTTTTTGTATTGTATGGGTTTGATCCCCTTTCAACACTATACAACTATCTAAAGAGTAGGATATCTGGATTTAACATTTGTCTCCCATAGTTCTTCATTTTCATGTTATATATTGTTTTTTCTGTTAGAAATTTCAAAGAAATTAATTTTTGTTGTCATTGCAGTCATAAAGTAAAGGAAAAGATGGCTTGGTTCCAGTGAGCCAGAGGAAAATAGTCTGGTACTGGTAGGGAAAGGGTAAATAGCTTTGTAGTTGTTTTCAGACACTTTCAAGTTTGAGAGATGGCCGGATGAATGATGTATGATGCAGTAGTTTTGTTACAGCATTAAATCCTCTTGACCGGCATTTACAGAAGGAAAGTTTTACTATTCTCTTTGTTATTATTAATTTTATGTTATTCCCATATAGACAGAGCAGAGAAATGTCCATACAGTTCTGAGTAGTCTTGTGCTCCTTTACATAACCTAGTCAAAATGTTGTCAGCTTGTTTCTATTGAGATATGGGCGGAAAGGAAATTATTGAGGAGAGGGGAGGAATAGGGGGTGTGTTTGAGCTCTTTTTGTGAACATTGAGGCCTAATGCTTTTAAGCTGTTTCTTGTAGGTTTTGCATTTTCTCTTTATGTGCATTACATTTGTCTGGTTTGATATATTAACCCAAACAATGCCAACAGCGAAATAATTTTATTTTTCTTTCTGACCTAAAAATCTGTACTGTTAGATGTGTATTTTACATCTTGCAAGTGTTCATTCTTGCTTTAGGTGTGGCATTTTTTCCCCTCAAAAGTCTAGTTAATAGCTTTCTTGAAGGCTACAGTACTATATTCACATCTGAGCTCAGATTTAGTGTTGTTATATGATCATCTATTCTAGAGAAGTTGACACTTGTTGTGACTGTAATACAGATATATATGTCACGACGCGGTGGGATCAGGCGCTCGTCAGTTTTTGGGCATGTGGAGTTATTGATATCATCTGAAAGCTTTTTCATTTGCATTGCTTTAAATGAAAAAAATGTGCCTTGAATAGAAGTCAAGATATTTGTGACTGAAGGAGATGAAGTCGCCTGGTTTCAGTGATGAAATTAGCGAGAAAATGGCCGTCAAAGTTTGGTAACTCTAATAGCTAAAGAGTCCTTGAAAACTGAAAAATGACATACTTTCTGTCTATAATCAACATTTTTCAGTAAAATTCCCATGGAAATATGTTTTTGTATGGACATAAAAGGGTTTGAGCCAAAAAACGAAAGTTTGATAAAAATTGCCTAACTGGGGGAAAAATGCCTGTTTCTCCGATTTCGTTATTTTGACGAGCGCCTGATTTCTCCACGATGCTTCACATATAATACATTTATAGTACATTTTTGTTTTATTCACCTGTGGTATGAGTCCAAGCAAAGATATAATTGTTGATGCACAGATATGATGCATATTAGAGAATTCTTTACACTTTACTTGGCTCAAGACTAGGAATTGAGAGCAAGGAGCAAAGTATGAAGGTATTTTCAGATATGATGTTTCATGACCTGTTAACTTTGTTCAAACTTAAAAAAGATGAGTTTCGTTGTCAGTCTCTGGGTTCATTTTATTGATCCTTCCCTATAATCATAGGTTTGAATGATTCTTTTCCTTGTTGTTATATAGGTTTCTAAAGTTTAACCTAAACACACACAAACACACACCAAGGGGGAAAAATGTGTTCTATTGTTGTAGTTTTTTAAATATTTTTTTTATTTTATAGAAGATATGCTTTTATCTTATTAAATTTCTGTTAGATTATAATTCATTAAAATGTATACTGACTTGTTTATCCCATGTTCACTGACACATTTATATTAGTGAAGGTTAGAGAGTAGATATATAATGCTCATATGTTTTGCTTTGCTCACATGCCTTATACTTCGAATTATTTTTAAAATAGCTTCATAGTATCTGGTAAAGCTTTTAAAATACATTTTGGCTTTGTCAGATGCAAGTTTAGCTCAAAGATAATTTTATTTTATGGATATACTTACAAGCTTGAGATTTTTAGAATGGTATGCGTTTTAATTATGATATACTGACTGGACTGGTTATACAGTCAATGTGTGTCAGCACTTTGTGTAGAAGTAACATAGGCTACATTTTCTGAAAGTGTAGTTTTGAATCTGTGGTATGTTTTTTTACTCACTTAACTGAGTTCTCGTCCCCCTTCTTTTTCAATTGCTCTCCTTTGTTTTACCCACTGTAATAAAAATACTTGTTACCAAAGAATATTGTTGGAGGAGAAACATTGTATTCCTTTTGAGTCATGTAATTCAGATACAGTGTTGGTTTGAGTCAAATCAGTTTTATGGATATCTTTTGAGAAAGCACTTACAATTTTTTTTATGACCACTCAGGCCCTCAGGCTGTCAGTTGGTAGTTGGTGGGTGCTCTAATGTGATTTCTTCCTTCTTTCCTTTCAAATGTCTTTTATTCCTATCTTTCTTCCTTTTTTTTATCTGCTTTGTACTCTCTTGTAAGCCTCTAATCTTCGACACCTATGATTTATTTGTGTTGCAAGTGCCATAAAATTCTCACTAAATTAAAAAAAAAACCCTCAGGTTGTGGCATGAGTGGTTGAAGGATGCCACAGGTAGGTCCTACTTCTTTACTTTCTCTCTGTTGTTTCTGTTTGTATGTCTTACTTTTTCTCAGCTCTACTAAATGACCTGTATAATTGAGTCGGTGTGCTTTTTTTAAAACTCAAAAACAAGCAAACAAAAATCAGGTAGTGGAAAGTTCTCAGATCTTTCAGAACATTTTTCCTTTGATTGGTTCTTCCTGTTGTATTGCATTTATGACCATGATTTGATTGGTCTTTTTACTTTTGATGTGTTGCCTCTGAGCAGCATCTGTGGTGTAATGGTTATAGGACCACTTTGAACACTATGGACAGTAGGGTCGGGGGGAGTCTCGTAGCTCGGAAGTTAAGGTGTTCACCTCTCATTCAATAGGTCTGAGCCCAGAGGAGGGGGCAAAGTGGATTGGGTGGGTTGTTGGCGGGTGCTCTGGTGTGGTCTGCTCCTTCTTTCCTATCACACATCTATCGTCTTTATCTCCCCTCCTTCTTTTCCATGTTTGCTACTCTCTTGTAACACCTCTAATCTTCGGCACTTATATGACCTTATTGTGTTGCAAGTGCCATAAAACTCTTACTAAAACTTTAAAAAGTGGTTTGGGGGAGGGGGGATCTAGACCATGAGAGCATCCACTTTGACTTTACATTCTTTAAAGAGCTGGAGGGCCTGGCATAGTTGTACCCAAGTAGGCCTACATATATTATTTATACACTGACTGTAGAGCCATGTTCTTGCTGATAACGAGCTTCTTCATGGATAGCCTCCTTTTTTATTTATCTTGTTTACTTGTTGCTTTTCTCTCACATTCTCTCTCTCTCTCTCTCTTTCATCTTGCGCTGTGGCATCATAAACGGTCAGCGATGCCGACATCGCGCAGGAACTCAACACTTGCCCGGGGGTCCTTGAAAAGTGCTGAAAGTGGGTAACTGAAATGTCCCAGCAGACAGGTTCGAGCATTTAAGTTGGTGGGACATCCCAGGAACACATGGTCCATAGTTTTGTTCTCCTCCTTGCAGGCTCGACAGGACAGATCTGGGTTGTGTGCTGGCACAATTTTGTGGAGATATGATCTCAGCATTGGCGATTTTCCACCAGTTCTCATTTCGGAGAGAAGCCGGCGGTCCTGTCGTCTGAGCGAGGCCTCAAGCTGGTATGATGGCGGCTGGGCAAACGGCAGTTTGGGTTTCGCCTCTCTCTTCCCCTTTGCGCTGGTCGATCGGTGGATGACGGCTTTAGCTCAAGGTTTTGTATGTGGGCGTTGGAGGATAGAGTACGATCAAGTGTGACCCCAAGTAAGGTGGGGTTGGAGTTGAAGGTGATGGGGGAGCCTTTGAGCGAGAGTGCTGGTTTTCGTTTGGCCTCGTGAATGTTGGTGGTGAAGAGGGTGCACTCTGTTTTCTCCGTACTGATTCCCATCTTGTTTTGTTTTGCCCACTGCTCGAATGAGTTTATGGCTGCTTGGACACTGTTTTCAGCCTGATTTATGTCTTCGTAGGTGGCGTATATAGTATAGTCATCAGCTTAGAGTCACGGCTTCAGGCAGGCCTGCTTCAATATCATAAATAAAGACAAGGAACAGTGACGGGGGCAGGACGCTGCCCTGGGGGACTCCCTGCTCGAAACGGCGAAGCCTGCTTGTTGCGTTGCAGTGCCAGACACAGGCGCACCTGTCCCTGAGGAACGAACCTATCCAATGGGTGGTGTGGCTGGGAGTAGATTTCTCAATCATCTTCTCCTTTAAACCTCGTGCACTATACCTTGTCGAAGGCACGCGAGAAGTCCACGAGGGCTAGCGCAGTTCATTGCATTTTGGGACGAGCCTTGAACCCGTCTGGGATGTGTAGCGTTAGGCACAGGACTTGGTTTTCAGTTGACCTTAACTTGCGAAGGCCCGATTGCTTGTTGCTCTCCAGAAACAAAAAATACATCAGGCGGGTTTTGACGAGGGTCTCCATCAGCTTAGCAAGGCACCTGGTGAGACTGATGGTGCAGTAAGACCCCATCTTGTCTGCTGGCTTATTCTTCTTGGGTAACGGTATGATTTTGGCACGTCGCCAGCTGTTTTGAAAAATGGCCATTTTCCATGACAGGTTGAAAAGACGGAGGAGGGCAGAGGTTCCGATGGGTCCGAGGGGCTTGGTCTCCTCTTTTGTTACACCGTCAAGGCCGGGAGATTTGCCGTTTTTCAGCTTTCCTATACAACCTGTCACTGTCAGTTCAGCCATGGTGAGGAGGCCTCGAGTCCGAATATAATTTTTGTCTATTCAGACTAGTCCGAATATGGGTTTTATCTGTTCGGACTTGCGTCCGAAAAAAAAACCTGTTCTATTTATTCGGACTCAGCTTCTAACTTAGAATCTAAGTGAGTCATGTGAGTGTAAGGAGATAACTTTATATAACTGTCGTCGGGGGATTTTACGTAAAACCAGAATTAGAACTAGAATTGCATACATGTACTACCAGGACTGTGTAATTGTGTCAAAAGTCAAAAGACTGCACTCTCTTAAGATCTACCCAACGGCAGTGTCTCGCTTTCATGAGAGAGAGAGAGAGAGAGAGATAGATAGATAGAGAGAGAGAGAGAGAGAGAGAGAGAGAGAGAGAGAGAGAGAGAGAGAGA